ATATGCTCACTTTGGAATGGCTGTGGATCTCTTGAACCATAATTGGTGTGCTTCACTAGTTTACTATATTTATTAGAACTGCTGCTGCTAGATCTAGTTAATATGGTAACAAAGCAGTAGACTTGTACTCTATCAAATATCTGGGCTTAATTTTCTTCTCCTCTTTTTTTTTTTTGAGATGGAGTCTCACTTGGTCACCCAGGCTGCAGTGCAGTAACGCGATCTTGGCTCACTGCAACCTCCACCTCCCGGGTTCAAGCAATTCTCGGCCTCAGCCTCCAGAGTAACTGGGATTACAAGTGCCTGCCACCACACCTGGCTATTTTAAAAATATTTTTAGTAGAGACAGGTTTTCACCATCTCACCCAGGCTGGTCTTGAACTCCTGACTTCGTGATCCACCCACCTCAGCCTCCCAAAGTGCTGGGATTATAGGTGTCAGCCACCGCGCCCAGCCTGGGTTTAATTTTCTTTTAAAATTTATATTTATTTATTTATTTTTAAAGATGGAGTCTTGCTCTTGTCACCCAGGCTGGAGTGCAATGGCACAATCTTGGCTCACCGTAACCTCCACCTCCCAGGGTCAAGCGATTCTCCTGCTTCAGCCTCCCCAGTAGCTGGGATTACAGGCATGCACCATCATGCCTGGTTAATTCTGTACTTTTAGTAGAGATGGGGTTTCACCATGTTGGTAAGGCTGGTCTCGAACTCCTGGCCTCAGGTGATCTGCCTGCCTCAGCCTCCCAAAGTGCTGGGATTATAGGCTGAGTCACCATGCTTGGCCTTAATTTTCTTTTTTTTCTCTTTTTTATTTTTTTTGCCTCACCTCCTCCTCCCTCAATTTTCTTTTTTGTTTTTTTTGAGAAAAAGTCTGGCTCTGTCAACCAGGCTGGAGTGCAGTGGTGTGATCTTGGCTCACTACAACCTCTGCCTCCCATCCTCCCACCTTGGCCTCCCAAGTAGCTGGCACTACAGGCATGTGCCACCATGCCCGGCTAATTTTTTTTTTTTTTTTTAATAGAGACAGGGTCTCACTTTGTTGTCTAGGTTGGTCTTGAACTCCTGAGCTCAAGCAATCTGCCCACCTCGGCCTCCCAAAATGCTAGGATTACAGGCGTGAGCCATAGCACCTGGCCCATGCCTGTAATCTCTTTGAGAGGCTGAGGCAGGAGAATGGCTTGAGCTCAGGAGGTTGAGGCTGTAGTAAGCCATTATTGTGCCACTGCACTCCAGCCTGGATGACAGAATGACAGCCTGTCTCAAAATAAGTGAGAATAAAAATAACAATAACATTATGCCGAATAGGTGATCACGGGCTTCACAAAATTGCCAAAGCAGTCCACGGTAGAAAAAAAGATGCAAACCCCTGCTTAATAGAAACACTCATTGCCCTACCTGTCCTCAAAGGGATGCTTGACTTTGGGTATTGTGTCGTCTCTCTGAGTCCATCTTTTGTTGCTCTAAAGGGGAGAGTCTCTGGGACTCTTGTCTCCAAAGCAAACAACTGCATCAATTGCATGCAGGGCACTGGATAAGGGAAAGTCCCAGGTGTACAGAATCAGTCAGTTGCAGGCCTACTTGCAACCAGTGTGCTGACAACCAGTCATCCCCTGTCATTCTCCTGAGAAAAGTGGCTGCTGGCCATCTCTCTACTGAGATTTGTTCCCTGATACTCATCATCCTAGCTGCAGCCAGCTGGACCAGAGATCTCCCTTGTGTCTGGGTGGTGGCCTGAGGAGTGGCCAGGCAGGAGAGCCTGCCAAATAGGTACTTTCAGATTGAATGACAACTCATTGACCCAATTAGATCCTGTCCCTTGGAAAGTTCAAATTTGAACACTTGAGGGAGTCAACAGTGGGTAGGGCCAGCAGAAGTGATGGGCACCAAAAAAGAGGTGAAGGGAGAAGGGGAACTGGAGCCAAGCATGGGAATTTGCTAAGTGAGGGTAGCCTTCCACCCCATTCATCCAGAGGCGGTCTGGCTGAGCACTCTGTCACTTCTATTTCCTACCACTGGGAAGAGCCCGTCTAACCCCTCCGCCAAGAACCCACAGAATTATGGAAGGCCAGGAGTCCCCAGCTGCACAGGGGTCATGACAGAATACAGACATGCCAGATACCCAAAATGACTAAGTTGGGGGTGCTTTTTTCTCAGTCTCCCTGACCTAGTGTGACCTCCTCTGGACCCATGTAATACGCCTCCACACCCCCTTATGGCCAGTGCAGGGACCCTGTTAACATCTATGTCCTTGTAGGTCCCTTTCCAAGGACTCCACCTGCTTGACTGGTCCCAAAGCAGCCAGAGCTGGTATCGCCCCTGGTGGGGAATGGGGGTGGAAAGCAGGCTGGCAGGAATGTGAAGGGAGGGACAGAGAGCTGTTACTCATCCCAGAGAAGCAGCATGGGGTGGACCCCTCTGACCTGGCTCCTTTTGTTTCCCATGGCTGGGTTCCTTCTCTCCCTCTGGAGCCTGTAATGCCCCTGCTCTTTCAAATTCCTCAGACAGCAAACATATTCCACTCTCTTTATCCAGAAATAGGTTCAGACTCAACTACATACATTATCTCATTTCTTCCTAACAGCATTTTATTTTATTTCATTTTTGAGATGGAATCTTGCTCTGTTGCCCAAGCTGGAGTGCAGTGGCCCAACCTTGGCTCATTGCAGCCTCTGCCTCTTGGGTTCGAGTGATTTTCTTGCCTTAGCTTCCCTAGTAGCTGGGATTACAGGCGCCTGCCACCATGCATGGCTAATTTTTGCATTTTTAGTAGAGATGGGGTTTCGTCATGTTGACCAGGCTAGTCTCGAACTCCTGACCTCACGTGATCCGCCCACCTTGGCCTCCCAAAGTGCTGGGATTACAGGCCTTACTATGGCGCCTGACCCCCAACAGCATTTTAGAGATGAGAAAATGAGACTCAGAAGTCCGATAGCTGTAGTAAGAAATGAGGAGTCAAGCTCCTCAGTGTTCACTACAGAAACCCTGCATCCCTATTTTGCAGCTCCCTGCCACCCATTCCCATCTTACCCTCCCTTGCCAAACCGATACACTTGCTTTCCTTAAAACATTTCCTCTCATCTCCAAGTGTCTGCTCCTGATGTTCCCCCTGGCTAGAATACCCCTAGGATGTCCTACTGAATTCTCTGAGTCAACCTTTAAGACTCAAAGTGTGGGCCAGGCATGATGGCTCATGTTTGTAATCCCAGAACTTTGGGAGGCCAAGGCAGGAGAATCTCTTGAGACCAGAAGTCCAAGACCAGCCTGGGCAACACAGTGAGACTCCATCTCTTAAAAAAAAAAAAAAAAAAAAAAATTACTTAAGCATGGTGGTGTGTGTCTGTAGTCCTAGCTACTCAGGAGGCTGAGGCAGGAGGATGGCTTGAGCCCACAAGGTTAGGGCTGCAGTGAGCTACAACTGTACCACTACAGTCTAGCCCTGGCAACAGTGAAACGCCTCTCAAAAAACAAAAAAAGACTCAAAGTGTGCTCCAATGTTCCTTTTACACCTTTAGTGAGGCATCAGGAGCTGTGTCCTAAATGTCTTTGCTTCTCCAGCCCTTCACGTAGGGCCTGGCAAGGTAAGAGACCAATAAATATGTGCCCTTTGGCTTCATTTCACTCAATCATTAGGGTCCAGAGGTATGGTCAGCACTTGGAACCCTCAAGATCAGAATCCTCTTGCCCAGTTCTTGGCTGGGACATAGGTGACATCTAGAATCCATGAGGGTACGGGTGATCTCCTGGGTTCCAGACACCTGCACTGAGTTTTATTCAATCACTCAACAATATGTATTAGGTCTATTACACTCCAAACACTGTGCCAGGTGCTGGGGATCAAAGATGAATAGAGAAATTTTTTTTTTTTAATAGAGAAATTAACTGGAAGGATATAGTGAAACTAAAGCTTTAAGAACACAACAAATCAGGCCCTAGACCGGGGGCCGCGGTGGCTCCAGCCAGCTGTCCTGGAGCTTGAGGAGGCGAGGTCATGAGTTCAAGGCCAACCTGAGCAACATAACAAGCTCTCATTGATTAACAAAAAACAACACAACAAATCTGTAAAAGAAAAACAAAAGAGCATTTAATCTGTACTTCTGCACAGGTATGCGGAGCTGGGTGTAGGGTTGCACCTGTCCGGAATCATTCCCAAAGCAAAGATTTGAGGGGTATTAGATTTCTAATACCCAGATTGGGTCTCACTTTCAGGAAGGTGTGAGACCAGCATCCTAACCTGGACCCATTGTTCCCCTAATTCCCAGCATCGGATCTGTGATTTAGCGGTCTGGGTGGCAGCTCATTCCTCGTTCAGAGGCCCAGAACACTGTGAAACTATTCTTTCCTGACTCAAAAGACCCTACCTAGACGTTGGACCCTTTGACAAGCATCTGCCCCTCAGGAGGGCCTCAGCCGACCTTCTTGAAGGTGTGACCGCTTGAAAAGGAGGAGGCCAGGCACGGTGGCTCTTGCCTGTAATTCCAGCACTTAGGGAAGCAGAGGCAGAAGAATCGCTTGAGCCCAGGAGTTTGAGACCAGCCTGGGCAAGATAGGGAGACATCCCCCACCCCGTCTCTACAAATAATTAAAAATTTAGCGGGGCCTGGTGACGGGAGCAGGAGCTACTCGGGAGGCTGAGGCAGGAGTATCGCTTGAGTCCTGGAGAGTTGAGTCCTAGAGGTGGAGACTGCAGTGAGTAGTGATCGTGCCACTGCGTTCCAGCCTGGGCGACAGTGAGACCATGTCAATCAACCAATCAGTCAAGAGGAGGCTGGCGGGAGCACGCTAGTGACCACCAACCCGAGGTTCAAACCCCGAGCCAGACCCGACGGTCCTGCCTGGCGCCCTCCAAAGACTGCGGCTTCTAGAGCAACGCCGCTGAGCCCCGCCCCCAGGTCCCCGGCACCGATTGGCCAGAGCGAGCGCGGGGCGGAGTCAAACCTTAAAGGGTCCGGGAGCTAAGCCAGACCCGGGTGGAGGGGGCCGCTGCGAAACCCAGGGAGCCGATGCCACGTGACAAAACGTGGGCTTCTTTTAAACCTTTCGAATGCCCATAACCTAGCCTCAGGTCCATGGAGCCCACGAGAGACTGCCCGCTGTTCGGGGGCGCCTTTTCCGCCATCCTTCCCACCGGGGCCATTGACGTAAGGTGAGAAGGCCAGGGCGCCCAGGGGCAGCTGACTGGGTGGGTTGTGGGAAGAGACCGGGGTCAACCAGGGTCGGCCTCGCCTCACTCCAGTGACCTCCGACCGGTCCCGGACAATCAAGAAGTTTTCTGCCATCCCGTAACGGACCAGAGCCTGATTGTGGAACTTCTCGAGCTGCAGGCCCACGTGCGGGGTGAAGCGGCTGCGCGGTGAGGGAAGGGCCCCGGGCTGGCCAATGGCAGGGCCGGAGCCGGGGCAGTGAGCACGGCCCGCGGTCAACGGTTAATCTGGGCGGGGGCAGGGAGCGAAGATGCTCCCGGGGAGGCGGCCAGAGATGTCCCTTCCTGACCCTGCTTCCCACTCCAGGTACCACTTTGAGGATGTTGGTGGTGTGCAGGGGGCTAGGGCTGTCCATGTGGAGTCTGTTCAACCTCTCAGTTTGGAGAATCTGGCCCTGAGGGGCTGCTGTCAAGAAGCCTGGGTCCTCTCTGGCAAGCAGCAGGTAGCTAAGGAAAACCAGCAGGTGAGAGCTCGGGAGTGTGCAATGTCCTGGATGGGCGAGGGGGGTGGCACCAGAGATCCAGGTAAGCATCCTGACTCTCATGCCCTTAGGTAGCAAAGGATGTGACACTACATCAGGCCTTGCTGCGGCTGCCCCAATACCAGACTGATCTCCTGCTCACCTTCAATCAGCCCCCGTAAGGAGGAAGGAATGGGCAGGTGTTCATGACTGGGTTCCAGGAGGATCGGGCTGGGAGGGACAGAACAGGGAGACTCACTGGTGGGGTTCTCCAAGGAAGCAGGAATGGGCCAGAGGTTTGGGGACACTGATACTCAGGTCCTCTGGGGAACAGGAATTGGCAATTTCCAAACCTCAGGACTGGATGATGTTCTCTCTCTATCTGTTTCCCCACCCCAAGCGCTGACAACAGGTCATCTCTTGGCCCTGAAAATCTGTCACCTCCACCCTGGAGCCGGGGTGAATTTGAACAGCTGGTGACCAGTCTGACCCTTCATGATCCCAACATCTTTGGTCCCCAGTAAAGGCGATGAAGCACTGCACAATGTTGCTGAGGACTTGGGGACTTGGTTCTGTGAGGGGGAAAAGAGGTTTAATATCTGGGTTCCTCTTATTTCTTCCCTGTGCATAAACAAGACAATCCCTTTTCAGAATAAACTTGCTTTATAATCAACATAATCTCTGTGCCTTTGACTCTAACAGGACGCCTGGGTCCCCCCAATTCCCTTTTGTTTTGGAGGGAGTTTAAAGCTGTGCATGGGAGCAGGAGGGACCCAAGGGTGGCAGTGGAGAGAGGGAGGAAATACACTTTGGAATGACTGGCTCAGTCCTGAGAGAGGGGTGTGAAGTGTACAGGGCACGGGTAGGGAAGGTTTAAAGCAACACCCAAGGAAAGGAGGGAAACTCATCTTGTGATTGAACCCTGAGAACAGATGGGGAGTGGGGTTGGCTATCCCCCATGGATGGATGAAAGGTCACCTAATCAGTAGTTACCAGGACATAGTGGTGGAGGCACAAGTGGCCAAGGAGTGCTGATGTGGTGGAGTGTGGGAGAGGCTGTTATTTAGCATATGTGTAATAGAGGGAGCGCAGCTGGTCCCAGAAGAAAAGGGAGAGGATGGTGTGGGGGCCAAGGCGGAAGTAGGAGGCACCTATACCCTTGTACATGCCAAAAATGCCCTCGGTCCGAGCTGTCTGCAGCAGAGCATCCAGTATCCCCCGGTACATGAGGCCCTGAGAGCACGTCAGAGAGGGAGGGAGAGCACAGAGAAGGAGTTTGTCAGAGCCCGTCAGAGGCCACGCCTCTGCAGGCTGCATTTTAGGCTATCCCACCTGCACCCTCAATCTGCCTCCCCCATCCCCTGCTTCCCTGCCTGCCTCCCAGAACACTTCCTTACCTTGCCTTGTGCATTTGTGGGCTGGTTGTAGAGCCTTGTGCAGGCCACATCAAAGGGTGCCATGGCCAAAACCACTGCAATGCCACTCACCATGGCAGCCACCAGAGCCAATTTCCAGCTCTGGGGAGGAAAGATCTAAGGGGGTGGAGAGGAAGAGCATTGTCAATCAGCCAACCATTCCACCCCAAGGACAGGACAGTCCCTGCCCTGTGGACACAGATGCTGGTAACTCAGGGAGCTTCCACTGCACCAGTTACAACAGTGCAAAAACACTGAGAAGGAGGAAGGCCAGGGTGCCCTGAAGGCTCAGGTACCCCTTCTGGGAGGAAGTGACAAGAGAACTTCGGGAAGGGTCTAAATTAGAGTCAGTGACCTCCAAGTCCTCCTGCCACTCCCTCATCTTTGAATGTTGGGCACCATCCCCTCCAGGGCCCAGTGCAGCTTGCCCTCCCATTCTCCCCTTCCCGAAACAGACCCACCCATTTCCCAGGCAGTACCTCCCACTGGCTCAGGAGGTCCTTGGTGGATGAGAAGGTGCACAGCTGGGTGGAGGAACCGATGATAACTCGGGGCAGGCCGCCCAGAGCCCCACGCCACAACCCCACCAGACCATGTTTCTGGCCAATCTTGGTTAGCGCTTGAAACATGCCCTAGTGTGGGGAAGACCGGGGGTGGGGTTCAGTCACCCCAGTATCAGGGGCTGCCACCTCCAAACACTGCCAAGGATGGGTCCTTAACAGGAACCTGGTGTCTAGACAACAGTTCAATGTGGGCTTAGAGCCAGAATGTGGGCCCTTGGTTGTCTAGCCACCCCATTGTTCCTCCCTGGCCACCCAAGAACTGGGGCGGGATGTATGGAAGTGAGGACATTCACAGGTCAGGAGAAATGGGCAGGAAATTAGAGGAACTGGAGTACATATTGGAAAGAGGCACCAGGTACGGTGGCTCGCTCCTGTAATCCCAGCACTTTGGAAGGCCAAGGCAGGTGGATCACCTGAGGTCAGGAGTTTGAGACACGCCTGGCCAACTTGTGAAACCCCATCTCTATTAAAAATACAGAAATTGCCAGGCGCGATGGCTCACACCTGTAATCGCAGCAGTTTGGGAGGCCGAGGTTGGCAGATCACCTGAGGTCAGGAGTTCGAGACCAGCCTGACAAACATGGTGAAACTCCATCTCTACTAAAAATACAAAAATTAGCCAGGTGTGCTGGTGTGCGCCTGTAATCCCAGCTACTCAGGAGGCTGAGGCAGGAGAATCGCTTGAACCCGGGAGGTGGAGGTTGCAGTGAGCCGAGGCTGCAGTGAGCCATGATTGCACCACCACACTTCAGCTTAGGTGCCAGAGACTCTGCCTCAAAAAAAAGAAAAGAAAAGAAGTAGCTGGGCATGGTGGTGCACATCTACAGTCCTAGCTACTTGGGAGGCTGAGGCAGAATCCCTTGAACCCAGGAGGTGAAGGTTTCAGTGAGCTGAGATCTTGCCACTGCACTTCACCCTGGACAACAGAGAGACTCCGTCTAAAGAAAAGGAAAGAGGGTCTGAGTAGGCTCCAGGGGCAAAATGGGATGGAACTGATGGGTTGGGCAGAGCAGTGGCTGAGGCTGGAGCTGTGGGTGCAGGCAGAATGCTAGAGGGGGAAGAGAGAGGATGGTCAGGGGCTTTGGCAGACTTGGAAACCCTCACCTGATGCTTATACTGGTGCCCTACAGCAATTTCTGAGGCTGCCTGTGCCTGCAGATGTGTCTTCACCTGGGAACAAGAGAGTATCATAGCCTTTAAGATAGGAGGTAGGTGGCCATCCTCCTACCTTAGACCCAAATGTCTGACCCCCTTACACTTCCTCTAGGGTGTTCAGCAATGAATATCCTTTTAATCTGATAATGATTGTTGTTCCCACTTAACAAATTGGTCATGAGACTCTGTCTCTTGGCTCCAGCTCCGGGAGGATGGATCTCCCAGCATTGCAAGACACCCCACCCCCTCCATATTCTCCTTCCCTTGGGGCTAGCAGTGGGGGTGGAGTGGTTGGAGAGTGGTAATATTTCCTCTAAGACTGTTCCTGTTAGGCAAGACCTGGGTGTCCAGCCTCTCATACCAGCTCATTCCCAGGCTGGATCTCTAGCCACCACTTCTATCAGGCTACCCATCAGACTCTGGGCAAAACTTGCACTTTATTCTCCAATCCCCATAGGGGTGACTGGCTGACCTTGGAGAGACCACTGTCCCTGAAACTCACACCCTGAGAATGAGACCAGACTGCTTCTGCTACAGAACAGACTACTGCTCTTTTGCTCTTAGGAGCACTGAGCAGGGCCTAGTCTTAGCAGCCTTATACCAGACAACTCAAAGGGGCAGACGGTGAGATTGTAATTCTGTGATGCCCAGGATCTTCCTAATCCCTACACTCTCTGATGTATGTTATTTAAATTCCTTATCCTCCCCACACAAATCCAACCTCAACATCAAGACATAATAATAAAAGCAATGCTACCAAATGCTTACTATCTGCCAGGATTCCCACTAGTGCTTTCATGTATACCTCATTTGTCTCCCTCAGTCCTCCCAATAATCACACAAAAAGGGCACTACAATAATCACCATTTTACAGATGTGGCAACAGAAGCTCAACAGTTAGTAATTTTCAAAGCCAGGATTTTAGTTTCAGAAAGGCTGATTCCAAAGCCCACAATCTTAATCAATACATTCAATTATGTCCATCAGATGGCTGTATATAGGGCAGATCAGAAGACTCCAGAGCCTACCAGCACTTTCCTGATGCCTTTCCCTGATTGCAGTGGAGCAGCACCCTGCCACCTATGCCCCTGGGAAAGACCAAGTTCCTATCCTACACCAAAGGATCTGCCCTGAAGGTCCCAGGCAAGAGCCCTCTTCTTACCATGTAGATGGGGCTCCCCAAGTAGGCTCCCATGACCCCAGCCATGGCCCCAGCTGCTGCACTGCGGGCAGGACTGTGGGCGCCTTCAGCTGTGTGCAGGTAGCCCCCAGCCTCAGCCATCCCATAGGTGCCCAGTCGGATGCCATTCATCAGGAACTGGTATATGAGGGCAGGGGCCAGGCCTTTCTGCAGGGCGGCCAGGCCATCCACCTTGCCGATGGTGATGAAGGCATGGAAGACATTTCGGTAGTGCCGCTGGTATGTGCCAGGGGCCTTCAGTTCTCCCTGCAACTGCATCCTGGTCTTCACCACCTCAAGGGGATTGGTGAATACACAGGCGCCGCAGGCTGCCAGGCCACTCATCAAGAAGTCCATGGTGGGATAGCTATAGCAGGAACTAGTCCAAGAGTAAGAAGGTCAAGATGGGTGGCAGAAAGAGGGGTTGGAAGACAAGGGAAGACCTCTTTCAGCAGTACAGGTTGCAGAAGGTAAGAATTTAGGTTTTCAATCAAGGGTTTCAGGGTCAAATGTCAAGTGGTCAAACGTCAGCTGGGATCTGTGAGTCAGGAGCTGGCAAAGAGGGAAGAGGGAAAAATTTGGGAGACTCTGGTGAGGCTATAGCAGAGCCCTCCTTGTCAAGGGATCTAAGGTCAAGGAGGAGCAAAAGACAGAAGGCTGCAGGTGGGATGGCTCAGGATGGTGGGCGACGGGGGCAGGGGAGTAGAGGAGGGAACCGCGGAGTTGGGAGATGGAAGCCAGAGAGGCAGGAGAAAGAAAGCCAGCAGGTTAGAGAAGAAAAGGATCCGGGAGAAGAGCCGGTGATTTCCTCGAGACAGCAACGAGATCTGGATCCGAGAAAGAAGTCGGGACCCTGGCCAGGCATGAGCGTCTCCAGGAAGCCACCGGAGGTTGTAGCAGCTTCAACCAAGAGTAACCTGCGGAGGTCGGGTCGCCACACTCCAGCCACTGGAGCGCGGGCCAATGGGGAGCCTCCGAGAGGCACAGACGAGACCCTCAGCCAATCAGCGCCGAGCCGGCTTCGCGGCCAATGGGAGGCGCTCTCGGCGCTCTGGTCTCCAGAATCGCCCGGAGGGAGTTGGAATTAACTCTCCCGGCCCCGCCACCAGCGCCCGGCCGCCGACTCCGGCTCCGGAAAGGGGTCCAGAGGCGAGGGGCTTTTGTCATTGGCGGGAAGAGAGGTTGAACCCTGGGTTCCCGAACGTACACAGAGGCCCAGCGCGGAGGCAGCAATCCCCCACTGGGGTGCTGGGACCGCCCCCCGGGTGGGCGGACGGCTCCCTTCTTTAGCTTCCTACCCCGGGTCGTGACTGGGTGAGGTCGCCTAACATCAGGGTGACGCCCTGCTCAGTGCAGGCGTAAGGAGAGCCCGGAAGCCGCTGCCCGGCCCCCGGGGGGGAGAGGGACACACCTGCGCGGCGGGACCTGTCTCCTGAGGCTGGTGGTGCAGCAGGTTCTAGCGCCGGGGCGTGGCTGGCCGCGGGCGCCGAGGGAGGGAGGCCTGAAGATGGAGGAAGGAACTTGGTTAAATCCTTAGGCTCTTTTGCGCCTCACAGCAGCCGGGCGGAGAGGGCAGCGCAGGCCTCGGCGGGGTTTAGGTTGCAGAGAGCCAGCAGGTAGTGGGAGACCCTGAAATTCTAGACTCCTGTCTTTGCTCATGAGTTTCCTAATGGTTAATCACAGAAGAACTTCCGAGAAAGAGGATTGGGGAAACTAGCTGGTAAGGGCCAGCTCAGGGAGAAGGGTTAAAGGAGGCAGGGAGACAGGGGATGTCATCTGGGAGGGAGGAAGAGGCAGAGGGCGCACTTGTGTGAGAGGCAGCCACCAGACTTAGTTAGATTCCCTTTTCAGTTCCAGTGGATCTTACCAGCTGGATGGCCTCGGGGAAGTTACTTAGCATCTCAGAGCTCCCTTGCAAAATGAGAGTTACAATATGTATTGCGCGTACCTGAAAGTGTTGGTCTTGTACTCGGTGGGCAACAATCAGGTTTCTTGAAAAGAGCTGTCAGACCTCTGAACCGGCTGCCTGGAATGCCCTTCCCAGGCTTCTTGTGGTGATCTCCAAGTCATGAAGCTTTTTACAAATTCTCTACAGTCACTCTCATTTGGTTAATGATTTTTGTTGTTGTTCATTTTTGAAGCAACGTCTCGCTGTGTCACCCAGGCTGGAATGCAGTGGCATGAACACAGCTCACTGCAACCTTTGACCTCATGGGCTCAAGGAATCCTCCCGCCCCAGCCTCCGAAGTAGCTAGTACTGTTACCGGAAAGGGGTTCCCGTCTACACCCCAAGGGAGGGTTCTTGGATTTCCTGCAAAAAAGAATTCGAGGGGAATCCATACAGTGAAAGCAAGTTTATTAAGAAAGTAAAGAAGTAGGCCGGGCGCAGTGGCTCACGCCTGTAATCCCAGCACTTTGGGAGGCCGAGGCGGTCGGATCACGAGGTCAAGAGATCGAGACCATCCTGGCTAATATGGTGAAACGCCATCTCTACTAAAAATGCAAAAATTAGCTGGGCTTGGTGGTGTGTGCCTGTAGTCTCAGCTACTCGGGAGTGTGAGGCAGGAGAATTGCTTGAAGCTGGGAGGTGGAGGTTACAGTGAGCCGAGATCGAGCCACTACACTCCAGCCTGGCCACAGATCGAGACTCCGTCTCAAGAAAAAAAAAAAAGAAAAAAGAAAAGAAAGAAAGAAAGTAAAGAAAGAAAGAATGGCGCCTGTAATCTTAGCTACTCAGGAGGCCGAGGCAGATAACTGCGAGGCGGAGATTGTAGTGAGCCGAGATCACGCCAGGGCGACAGAGCGAGACTCCATCTCAAAACAAAGGAGACTGGGCACGGTGGCCCACGCCTGTAATCCTGGCACTTTGGGAGGCCGAGGCGGGAGGATCACCTGAGGTCGGGAGTTCCTGACCAGCCTGACCAACACGGAGAAACCCCATCTCTACTAAAAATACAAAATTAGCCGGGCGTGGTGGCGCATGCCTGTAATCCTAGCTTTTCGGAGGCTGAGGCAGACGAATCGCTTGAACCGGGGAGGCGAAGGTTGTGGTGAACCGACATCTTGCCATTGCACTCCAGCCTGGGCAACAAGAGAGAAACTCTGTCACAAAGCAAAAAAGAAAGAAAAAAGGAATGGCTACTCCGTAGGCTGAGTAGCCCCAAGGGCTGCTGGTCGCCCATTTTTATGGTTACTTCTTGATTATATGCTAAACAAAGGGTAGATTATGCATAAATTTTCTGGGGAAAGTGGTGGGCAATTCCTGAACCTGAGAGTCCCTGCCCTTTTTAGACCATATAGGGTAACTTCCTGACATTGTCATGGTATTTGTAAACTGTCATGGCACTAGTGGGAGTGTCTTTTAGCATGCTAATACATAATTAGCATATAATGAGCAGTGAGGATGACCAGAGGTCCCTCCCTTGGCCTTGGTTTTGGTGGGTTTTGGCCAGCTTCTTTACCACTACCTGTTTTATCAGCAAGGTCTTTATGATCTATATCTTGTGTGGACCTCCTATCTCATCTTGTGACGTAGAATGCCAAACTTTCTGGGAATGCAGCCAGTAGGTCTCAGCCTTATTTTACCCGGTCCCTATTTGAAATGGCTCTGGTTCAAATGCCTCTGACAGTACCACAGGCACATGCCACCATGCTCAGCTAATTTTTTTTTTTTTTTTTTGGTAGATACAGAGTCTCACTATGTTGCCTAGCCTGTTTGCAATTGTTTACTTTCTGACTTCTTCATTAGACTGAGTCTCCCTGGGGGCCAGCTCTGAGTTAGGGCTATCTCACCAGTTTGCTGCTAAGTCTTTAAGCCATAGGATGAGGCAAGATGAGTATCCTCTGGGAATAGAGAGCAACATAGAGCAGATGATGGGGCTCCTTACTTCCTTAGGAGGAGCTCTCAAAGGGTCTCCCAAACATTTCTAAGGAATACTCCCCAAATGCTACCAGCTGGGTGATTTTGTCATTGTTTTAAATCTTGAGTTCACACAGGGCATGGTGGTGTGAACCTGTAATCCCAGTACTTTGGGAGGCTGAGGCAGGCAGATCACTTGAGGTCAGGAGTTTGAGACCAGCCTGGCCAACATGGTAAAACCCCATCTCTAATAAAAATACAAAACTTAGCTGGGCGTGGTGGCGGGTGCCTGTAATCCCAGCTTTTTTTTTTTTTTTGAGACGGAGTTTCGCTTTTGTGACCCAGGCTGGAGTGCAATGGCGCAATCTCGGCTCACCGCAACCTCCGCCTCCTGGGTTCAGGCAATTCTCCTGCCTCAGCCTCCTGAGTAGCTGGGATTACAGGTACGCGCCACCATACCCAGCTAATTTTTTGTATTTTTAGTAGAGACGGGGTTTCACCATGTTGACCAGGTTGGTCTCGATCTCTCGACCTCGTGATCCACCCGCCTCAGCCTCCCAAAGTGCTGGGATTACAGGCTTGAGCCACCGCGCCCGGCCTATCCCAGCTATTCTGGAGGCTGAGGCAGGAGAATCGCTTGAACCCAGGAGGTGGAGGTTGCAGTTAGCCAAAACTGTTCTACTGCATTCCAGCCTGGGCAACAGAGTACAAGACTCCGGGAAGAAAGAAAGAAAGAAGAAAGAAAGAGAGAAAGAGAGAAAGAAAGAGAGAAAGAGAGAAAGAGAGAGAGAGAGAGAGAGAGAGAGAAAGAAAGAAAGAAAGAAAGAGAAAGAAAGAAAGAAAGAGAAAGAAAGAAAGAAAGAAAGAGAGAAAGAAGGAAGGAAGGAAGGAAGGAAGGAAGGAAAAGAAAGAAAAAGAGAAAGAAAGAAAGAGAAAGAAGGAAGGAAGGAAGGAAGGAAGGAAGGAAGGAAGGAAGGAAGGAAAGAAAAGAAAAGAAAGAAAGGAAAAGACATCTAAATTCTCTAGCCCTAAACTTCCTAAACCAGAAATTCTGGACATGGGGCATGGGCACTCTGTTTCACCAAGCCCTTTTTAAATCTTTAACACTAGATGCCCTGGAGATGGACATCTTTTATGTTTTGTTTTGTTTGAGCCAGGGTTTTGCTCTGTTGCTCAGGCTGGAGTAGAGTGGCATGATCAGGCCTGGCCTAAGATATACGTCTTTGAAGGTGTTAATTTTTAAAAAATAAGTTTAATTTTTAGCTGAGCACAGTGGTTCACACCTATAATCCCAGCATTTTATGGGAGACTGAGGTAGGAGGATTTCTTGTGCCCAGGAGTTCAAGACCAGCCTGGGCAACATGGCGAGACCCCCATCTCTACAAAAAATACAAGAGTTCCCCAGATGTGGTGGTGTGTGCCTATAGTCCCAACTATTTTTTTTTTTTTGTGATGGAGTTTCACTCTCTTCACTCAGGCTGGAGTGCAATGGTGCAATCTTGGCTCACTGCAACCTCCGCATCCCAGGTTCAAGGGATTCTCCTGCCTCAGCCTCCTGAGTAGCTGAGATTACAGGCATGCACCACCACGCCCGGCTAATTTTGTACTTTTAGTAGAGACAGGGTTTCTCCATGTTGGCCATGCTGGTCGAACTCACAACCTCAGATGATCCACCTGCCTTGGTCTCCCAAAATGCTGGAATTTACAGGCATGAGCCACCGCACCCGGCCCTATAATCCCAGCTATTCATATTTAGGTGACTGAGGCAGGAAGATGGCTTGAGCCCAGGAGGTTGAGGCTGCTGTGAGTTATGGTAATATCACTGCACTTCAACCTGGACAACAGAATGAGACCTTGTTTCAAAATAAATAAATAGATAGAAATAAGTTAAAATTTTAGAACAGTGTTTTTTTTTTTTTTGAGACGGAGTTTCGCTCTTGTTACCCAGGCTGGAGTGCAATGGCGTGATCTCGGCTCACCACAACCTCTGCCTCCTGGGTTCAGGCAATTCTCCTGCCTCAGCCTCCTGAGTAGCTGGGATTACAGGCATGTGCCACCATGCCCGGCTAATTTTTTGTATTTTTAGTACAAAAATACATGTTTCACCATGTTGACCAGGATGGTTTCGATCTTTTGACCTCGTGATCCACCCGCCTTGGCCTCCCAAAGTGCTGGGATTACAGGCTTGAGCCACTGCGCCCGGCTTCTTTTTTTTTTAAGACGAGGTTTCACCATGTTGGTCAGGC